TATTCTCTGTGTGCACACTGAGTGCTGTATCTTGCTGTTACTGAAGAAAACTGACATTTTTGCTTCTAGGCAGATAAGACTCCCTAGAGTACAAGACACAGCAGCAACCTCCACTTCTGTAACCAAAAATTTCAGACATAAACAGATAAGAATTTTAATATCCTGCAAATGCAGCTATTAGCAGCTTTTCCTAATAAAATTACAAAATTATGAGAAAACCTTGGGCAATTTTGATGCATATAGCAGTTCAGCCTTACACATACGAATGTTCAGTCATTACTCAAAGACGACCCATCAAAGCCCTGTGGAAAGGCACGCAGTTGTGTATCAATACTTTTTCTTGCCTAATAATATGCAAGTGTCTCAAATTATCATTATAATGTGGTAGAACACAGCCTGATCTGTGTACAGCAGCGTTTTCCAGAATGGAATGGAAACACCGCTGTTTGTATTTGCGGTTCACTGTACACAGGAATTAAGCTGGGACCACTTAAATAGTTTTCACAGAATTTTCCAGCCTTATATTCACATTAGTCAATATATTGCTTGCTACTAATTACATTTACTTCATAGCAAGATCACAGATAGGATCCTTTAACAATTTTTGCAAAATTTACCAATCTCCACCTCAAAGTACGTTAGTTTCTCCTGTGTCTGTGGACAGTTTTTGATTTGCTCTTGTGCCAACTTTCCCCTCCAGTTCAAATAAGCCTTTTTTTTCCCCTGATCTTTCCCTTCGCAATGCGTTTGTAGTCAGCAGTCACATCCCCTCTCAATCTTTGATTTTCCAATCCAAACAAACCAGACTCATCTCCACTTCTGTTGCCCATCTCCCCTTGCTCAAATACTGCTGACCAGAACTGCATTAGGCTGGGCCTCGCAGCACTGACACCTTCACCTTACTACAAGACACTCAAAATTGCATCTGCCTCCAACTAATGCATCACACCAGCAACGCGCTGTACTCCTGTTGCCATATCTTGTATGCTTTGTTCTCCGCCACCTCCTCGCTTGCAGCTGATGCTCTCCCACACTGGAGCAGAAGTGGTCACTGCTAGTCTTCCTAGTGAGGTTCTTTGACATTCACGCAGAGGCACCAGGCACTCCAAGAGGTTATACCTGCAGTGCTGCAGTCTCATTTGGCTGTTTTTCTGCTCTAAATTGGGGGCTTGGGGTTGGTTTTGGGGGTTGGCTTATTTGTTTTGGGGTTTGTTTGTGGTTTCTTTTGGTTGGGTTTCACACACACACACACACACACACACGCAAAGATGTTTTAACTATGCAAATAAACACAGAGTTTCAGCATCCTTATCTATCCAGTCCACAGCTGGAGATGAACAAATGGAATACCATCTGTTCAGCTTCTTAACGCAATGCAGGTCCCAGAAGGGTATGAAGGAAACGCCAGAGAGGAACGCAGTTGAGCAGCAAAGCTCATATCATGTGCCTCTGTAGATGCTTCCAGTCCTGAAGTCTCTACAAAGGAAGATGTTCCTATGCTTTTTAAGAACACCAATGAATGCAGTGGGATATTTTTACCTGGCTGGCTTGCACCTGAGGTGCAACTGTTCTTCCAGATTACAGGTTCAGTTACAGATATAACCGTGCCACTGTAATGTGACCTTCCAGACAAACCTGATACAACTGAATTAGTCCATTGCTCTGAATGGAAGAGTGCCGTTTAGATAATATGAACAAGACTGAATTAACTTGACATCCTACCAATAGCAGTTAAATCCCTATTGACACAGGTCTGGAAAGAGGTGGAGAGGCCAGAAGATAAAATTAGAAACTAAGGGACAGAATTAATTACAATTATGGAAATGCAATTTAAACAAAATGTTTATATTTCTGAGAGAACTTAAGAAGATAATTGGCATAAGTAACTGACTCTAATAAGATAAGTATGAACACCTACTCTCAGAACTGCTGAGACAAAATCAGCTACTTGCTAAACATGTCACAGCTTCTTTCTGTTTAATGATTACAGTATAATAGCATTCATAAATGTAGAAAAATAAGCTAATCAATGGCTCTGTGTGCTTGCTCCCTGAAGAGCCATGCTTTCAATGTCAGAATATGAAACTCTAATAGTAATAATTACAAAAAAGTCATTAAAATACTGCATAAATTAGAATTAATAGACACTACAGCTGGCCACATACAACCCAAACGCTGAAACATCAGCAAACCACAAGGGGTTGGATCACAGTACCTTTCCCATGTACAGTTCACATTAGATTTTCTTTCCTAATTTCCCAGTGGTGTATAAAAGTTTTAAACAAGTACAATTTCCTTATGTCTGCTGGAGAAAATATGGTCTCAGACACAGGTAAATCCCAATTTAGTTGTTTCGCATTCGCTTAGTCATGCAAAGCCCTAAGATCACTGCTCAGTCCCACTTGGTCTCTCTGAGAGACAGGGAGGATGGGTCAGTCTTAAACGCAAGGCTGCCATCGGGAACAGGGGCAAGCACCCAGCCCGCTCACCCACCCTGTCCCACTGCCCTTTGTCAGGACCCACGGGATCAGAAGCCTCACTGACAAAAAGCAAAGCCTTAAAAAGCTCCATCAACTCTTTTATCTATATCAGCCCAGTCCCATAGGAAACCAACTTCTCTCAAGCATCAGGAGCAACACGCTAATTCCTGGGGACATGCACACGTCTCCTTACGTCATGCTGTTGGGAACTGCCACCTCTGCAAGTGTCCAGCGGGGACTTCAGCTCCCTCCATATACTCAGAGTGAAAGTAACTGTCACTGCAGTGTCTTGCTTAGGTTGAAGAGACAAATGGGAAGCCCCGAAGGATTGTCAGGGAAAAATAATTAATCCTGTCTGGTCATGAATGAAAGACAAATAAATTAAGCCATAGAATCTTTCTGGTCTAGGATTCCTGCTAATTATGTCTTCTACTTTAGACGATTATTACTTTGCAGACTCATCACTCAATAGCTGTTCATGGATTACTGGACTTTGTGTGAATGGATCATTATCCAGCCTTCGTGCCATTAGCAGGATAAAGGCATTGTGCTGCTCTATGATAAAATACCACCTCAAGTCACAGAGTATGGACCAAACTGTTCTTCCACTTGATCTAGAATAGCAGAACCACAAATAAGCATCCAAAACGTAGCTGCACCAGTTATACACTCACGCTAGAGAGCAGACTGTTGCCTGGAAAGAAGTGCTATTAATAAGCATTGACCAAAACACGCCAAAAGTGCTAAGACTCGGCAAAGGGGAACCTGGGTGAAGACATCTGGGAGACAATTCTCTCCTTCCACAATGTCAGAGAGAAGTCAGAAGGAACATGATCCCACCAAAATCAGTGGGACTGCTCAAGTGGCCTGATAAAACCCAGGAATGAATCTCATTTCACCTGAGAAGCAGAACAGTTGTGCCTGGAGGTGGATGACAGGCTCACCAGTGACAGAGCTATGAACCACCTTCCCTCTAACACATGTCCCAAATGTAGCACAGAGATGAATTAATATGACAATGCCACTGTCAGACTGACTTACAGAAAAGTTATTAACATTCTTCTGGTGTCCCAAATAGAACTAGCGGCAACTACAGGCAAGAAAAAAGCAGTACAGGGGAATATGGTGTTATCTCTGAATAGGCCTTTCTTAAGAAGATGCAAAAACTGACAAATTATTAATTCTCCCACTAAACCATTAGCTTAATTGATAGTGACATAACCACAGTGACAAAAAGACAGATACAATTTGGTTTACAGTGGGTTGCATCATAGTTCTGTGAACTGCAAACTTCCCCAGCTTCCTGACAAACACAGTGAAAAGGGAGATTTAGGTTCTCTAGGGGAAAAAAAAACCCACCAACTTTGCTTTTGAAAAAGATGAGTATTTTTATCTTTACTTTATAGGCATTCCATCCTGCTGTTATTAATAGTGCCATAAATCTGCCTTAAAGTGACAGTTCTTAATCAATGACTTCAAAGGCAATCAGGAATATAAAATCGGGGCCTCTCAGGAACAGTCACTCCCCAGTAGGACAGGTAGGGGTCCAGCTGTCACATTATACCTGACCTGCAGGGGCCTATTCCAGATGGGGACAGCTCCCAAATCCTGGTGGTCCCTCACCCGCTGCAGAAGCACAGGCTGGGCTCAGCACTGCTCTTACCTGGTGCCCAAGGGTAAAGGCAGAGAAACCTACATGGGGAATGCACGTGCTGTCTGGTTAAGGTGACATACCACGTTTCAAGCATACAAAAAGAGGTCTTGAAAAGGAAGTATTTTATACTAAAATGTCTTCAGAGTATTTCCCGACTTTGCTATTGGAAGGATACTTTGACAACCGAATGATCATAGCATGTAATTCATAATGGCAAGAGACTAAGATGTAAGGAGTTGGTAGGGGACTAATTACGGATCACTGTTAGGCATCTATTTTGCACAGACTTCTGATCAATACCTGGAAGTCAAGCTCTTCCTGGCACTTCCAACTCCTCCTCGCTGGGAGCACAAAGGATGCATACCCGCAGGCTTCGCTGAAGCAGTTCTAGAAGTGCCTCAGGAGGAAGCGTTTCAGTGTAGGGCAGTGCCAGACCGCCTGAACACTATTAGCGCACGTCACTCCAGAACACAATCACCATCGACCCTGAAAGCAACCCTGCCCTCTGCAACCGCTGCTCCTCTCCCCTCCAGGCTCTCCCGCCTTAGCCGAAGCCCTTTCCCTGCCGGCAGCACCTGCGTGCGGCTGGCCGGACCCCACGGGGAAGGACTCTCCGTGTCGTTCGTCCGTCCGTCCGTCCCCCCG